CTTGTAATCCGATTACATTTCCATCTGTGACCAGTGTCGTTGAAAGGAAGGTAACTGAGTCGCTGTTAAACTTTACTGGATTACTAGTCGTAAAAGTGTGGCGTTTATTCTGTTGCAGAACGAAACTTAAAGTGGCCCCTGATAACGCTTACGGCTCCCTGACGAAGAATGGTACTTGGACAGGCATGATTGCTCTGCTCGTAAATAACGAAGTGGAGTTGGCTGTAGGAGACTTCACCGTGAACAATCTGAGGACCAAAGTCGTAGATTTCACTGTCCCGTTCTCCGAGTCCGCGTACGTTTTTCACTTCCCCGGAAGTTATCAGCTAAAGGCATTGTTTGTACAAGACCGCGCCTCGCTAATTTGGAAGCAGCTGCTGAAACCAACCCTCAATGCCTCATACTCGTGGAATCGTAATTTTACTATTTCGAACGCAAATGTGCGAAGCTGATTTTAGAAAACAGATTACTTGCGGTGTGTCAAATTCTATCCAAGCATCTGAATTGGTTTTAACTTGAGGGAAAGGAAATTCTCCGTGTGGTCTTCCTGCCAATTCGTGCAGCAGTTTAATGATCATTATTACAGCAACCTGCAAGCTCCAGTCAGCATTACAGGCCTCTTCAGAAAACACTGAAACAGAGGCCAGTGCCTGCTCCTAAAACGAGATGAAAACCAGTGGTTTCAAAAGCTCTTGCTGATAATTTGTAGGGGCTTTCAAATATCTCTTTATTTTTGGATGAAATATAAATTCTCATTCTTAATTATGTGTCATTATATGATACAAGTGCTTATTCCTGACCACAGAATATGTTATCAGTGTGTGATCTAAAGTTACACTTGGTCAAAATTGTATTTGGATCTACTGATTTGTCGAATTTCATGTATTCTTAGTAGACATTTTATGTGAATCTCATTTTACCGTACTGCAGGATAATGGTGGTCATTGCATCCTTTAAAATTAATTTTATTAACAAGAGCAGCATGTTTATAGTTAATGTGGATACTTAATTGTTAGTTGACACATCAATTATTAAGGAGTATAGTATTTCATGTTTCCCGTAGGTAGCTTCAATTTAACCGATCTCCCCTAGCTCAAGATTTACGTTCGTGGTTGCATGCAAATTCCGTTTGAATCTGTTAAGCGAGTTCATAATTGGACTGAAATGGAAATGATAACTCTGAAAACAGTGGAGAGTAAGAACTTTATGTTTGTTTCGTTTTTCTAGCGTGTCCGTGTTCATTCATGGCACAGGGAGTCGAGATTTCGGGTGGAGTGACTTCCTAGCACCTTTCAGCAAAGAACTGTGGCTTGCGGCCATAACTGTGATGTTCATCATGGCCATTTGTCTCGTGGCAATACACTCCTTTGAATGCCATAAAGATACGAGGCACGGGATTGGCTTCTTGAAATCCTTTTGCAATGTGTATGCAATCTTCTGCCAGCAGGGTAGGATTTGAAACACGTATTTCAGTATAATTTCTGTATACAGCATTCTTAACTGTGTCCTGCAAAGATTACGGTGCTTACAAACACAGACGTGGCTAAGGTTTAAGTTTAATTGCGGAACTCCGTACTGAAGTATATTCTGTCCAGAAAAAATGTTGAATTTTAAATAAAATACAAATGAAATTTTCTCAGATTCTATAATGGCGTAAAATGAAACGTGCTGTTCAAAGCTGGTCTGTTTATGAATGTCCAGTGTCTGTGTCTGTCTTCGTCCTCAACAGGTGTGGCAGTCAAACCTGACGCTTTGTCACGCAGACTAGTGTACCTGGGGACGTGCCTCACGGCGCTGACCCTCAGCGCCGCGTACTCGGCCACCCTGGTCTCGTCTCTGGCTGTCCGGATCAACGTCTTACCGTTCAACAGCTTCGAGACGCTGCTCAAAAGAAAGGACTATCATCTGGGCGTCGTTAATAACTCGGCTGTGCTCAGCGAATTTGAAGTAATGTCGAAATATTGGAATTTTCTATCAAAATGAAAATGAGTTGAAAGTCACGTCAGCGGATGACAGCGTGCATGTAATCCCTTGAGACGCCTTCATTTGTTTAATTATTTTATGATCGTATTTGACAATGTATAAAAATGTAAACTTTGCTATGGATGTCAGCCTATAAACCTCACCAGAGTTGACATCTTTACGGTATGGAATATCGATATTTTATGTTTAAATTCTATTGATTGTTCTATATTTCTTGCGGTGGTGAATGCCACCATATTAACTTCAAGATCTATAAACTGTCATTTTATTATTCCCCAGGAGACGACGGACTACGTCCTAAGACAAGTTTACGACACGTTCATTGCCAGTAAGAGAAGTAATCTCCCAGCTGACTCCAAGTCCGGGCTGAGCAAAGTTTGCCAGAACTCGAAGTACGCCTTTGTGACTTCCTGCCTCGTGGCGACTTACATGCAGAACAGTCTCAGTTGCTCCATAAAACCTTTACCAGAAGCGTTTACCAAGGAATACCTCTCATTGGCTACGAAGAAGAACAGCCCTTACCTCGGGGTTATCAATCACAAGTACGAATTTCGAGTCGATCTGCAGTTTTCACGATTGGGACCTCTTATTTGTGTCATTTTCCTCTTCGTAAGAAACAAGATTGGAAAATCGTATACGCAGTTTCCACACTCGTTCTTTGCCGAGCGGAAATGGTAAACTAAAGTCAATTGCACTTGCTACGAGTCACGTAAACATATCAACAGATCTGCAAAAACCTAAGATCATGTTTTCGTCACAAGATAGGATTTGTGCCTTGCCTTGTTATTAAAATAAATGAAGACAATTTCAATGCCATAAACGCACTTTTAAATATCATCATCACAAAAGATACGCAGAGATATGTTCCCGGTTTTCATTTTCCGCCTCGATTCATTCGCATTCCAAAAAGTTCCGTGATGAGTCATTTCAGGAAGCCTTATTGCCCCTTCCAATTCACAAGTTCGTTCGTCCGCCATGATGGTATTTGAGGTTTGCAACGGCAGGTTTATATAATTACGTGTATTAGACAGAAAACAAAAGATTTTGAAATGAGCAAGCAATCCCAAAATGTAGAGCGTTTTTCATTTTTTTGCGAATGGTCTAGTCTGGGGGAAAGAAATTTCTCATGAGCTTTCGACCGGTGTATGGGACCGGTGCCAACCCAGCATCGTGAGGAAATTTGGTAGCGTAATGCGGTCAGGAAAACTAGCAATGGCTGGGGGTTCGTCGTGCTGACCACACGTCATCCTGAATCTGGTTGGATGATCGTCCACCTCTGCTTAGGCATGTGAACGTGAGGCCGGCAGTCAAGCTAGTCGGCTTTGGCTCTCAAAGGGAGGTTACGCCACGGATTATTATTATTATTATTATTATCATTATCATCATTTCACATCATTTTAAATAGAACTCTACATTTTCTAGGATTATAGTATGCCATGATTTCTTCCCTGAACAAAATTTGCAATGATCAGACGTTACGAGAAACTTCCAACGCATTTCATTCCAGTTTATTGAAGCTTCGACAAGACGGGACCCTGAAGAGACTGCACGCACACACATGGCGGCCGACAGAATCTGATCCTGGACCCCCGTGGCGCAGCGTCGACATCTTGGAAGTGGCGTCCGTTCTGCTCGTACTAGCGGCAGGTGTTGTTTCGTCCGTTCTTCTGCTTGTCGTGGAGGTCGTATACCAGCGGGTGCGTCTCAGGGTCAGTGGCCATGATCGTCTCAGAGTCAATCTGCAAAGAAGACCCCAACATTTCTGCTGAGCTGGACATTTTAACCCTGGCCGAAGGCGGTTTCAACAATACCAGGCGCCCTTATGTTCGCCGTGGGAGGAACCCCTCGTAGGGTTCCTAACCTAACCTCCAGCACACACGCCTCTGCGGATGACGACGAAGTGCCGGTACCATCGGGTTCCTGGGAAGAAAATGGCTCCCCATTCACAACCGCCGGCTCAACACTTCCTCCTCTGCAATTCCGCCCCTCTCTGGTAAATTAACCCTTTACAGCCTAATGGTAACTATGTGTACCGAGCGAGTTCGTAAATATTTTTAGACGAGACGAATTAAGGGGACTAAGATGGCGGTTTAGGTAGTAAATACCCTTATTTATGCAGAATTCTGTGTTGGAAAATTCCGAAGAGGCTAATTTAGGCACTAGAAACTGGTTTAAATTTGTTTAAAGTGAGAGCAAGGATTTGGAAGGAATTATGTCAGCCAAGCTTTTGTTCGAAGGTCGTATTCTAAGAATCAATGTTTGTCTTCAGTATGAATCCAATGAATAAATATCAATTGGTGCGTGCAGTTAAGCCTAAGATACAATCTACTTTTGTTCTCCCGTGGCGCAGGCCTCTCATTTAGCGACATCTGCGAGCCACGTTGTTTACCTCTGCAATTCTTCGTGTAGATGACGTTTGAATCCGTCCCTCGGCGGGGCGAACCCTTCAGTAATTTCTTCAGAACCGTTTGAATGTTTTCACTTTCTTCGGCACGCTGAAGCACGCAAATGATTCCATTAATTATGGATCACTCCAGCGAAAATCCACCCTCGTTACGTTTATGTCTAAAAATATAGCCCTTTATTCGTGTTGGGTAGACGTTTCGCCTTCTCATTCGGTTTTCAATTTCTTAAATAAGCAAGTTCAATGGTCGTAACAGCCGAACTGTTGCAGATTTGCACGATTTGAGGTTCTCAGAGAGGTGGGTCCGAAGATTTCTGTCTTCTGGGCTGTGCCGTCTGGTAGAAGTTTACCGACGTTTCAGAGGTCCTTCCCGCCTCATCGCCCTGATGATGGAGGCAGTAAGGACTTCTAAAACGTCGGTAAACATCTACCAGACTACACGGTGACACAGCCGAAAATACAATCATCCGTGGCAGATAAATTCTCGATCTTCAAATATGTCGATGTTCATCTTCTGTTAAGCAACGCCGTTTGGGCTTTTACGTTCATGCGAATGTTTCGGAATAAAGGTACTTACTGCCTTTATCTTCAGGGCTCGAAATGGAGGAATTGCGTTTCTCTGAATGTTGGCATCAACGTAAACATTCACACAGCGTTACAGCTCAAAATAAGAACATTTTAATCGTCTTGGAAGTCATTTTATCGGGTAGATATTTATATGTTTACCGTGAAGATGGAGGTGGTAAGTTCCTTTGAAAACTAGTAATCACTTACAAAATTTCAGTGCGTCTTAATCCAGAAGAGTAGTCTAACTTTCACTGCTGTGAGAAGTGAAAATTTCACCGTTAACTAATTAAGTTTGCTGATCATTAATTGCAGTTTCCTCCGTAATGAAACTATTTCATCTGTTCTCAAACCACGCACAAGAGAATCTGACACAGCTTTCGCCTCTGTTTCGAGCCAACCTTCGACACTTCCCCGATTCTGTTGACGGTCTCGCTGTCGTCTGGCCTAAACGAGACTGCGTTCTCTGCCTCAATTCCTCCTGTAACCGCTGCCACAGAGCTTTTAAATAGGCCGCGGCCGCTCCCATACACACTCGCACCACATTTGACGACATGCCTCCGAGGAAACCTCGTTACGAAATCAACGGAGCACGAAAAATTTGAGCAGTTAGAGCCGATTTCGAAGTTTCTTCTTATATTAAGTGTGCAAACATCTACGCGTTGCGGTGATCTACCAGAGAACGCGATAACCAACGAAACGTAGTAAACAAGAAATGCCTCAAAAATTTTGCTGTTTACGAAATAAAACCAGCAGAATGAAGTTGATCAGTGCCGCAGACATTCAGAGAATCTTTGGTCACGAGCCATATAATCTTTGTGGTTGATGAGACGATTTAATATTAGCAAGAGCTAATTACTGTGTAATTTCTTATCCACGTGCACTAGTCAAGACAGCTTAAACGATCTTGCACCATTTCCTCTGTGTCTGTAAATATATCTGTCATTAAAGTTGGTGTCACTGTCTTCGAGATTATGAAACGAGACGCTGAGGCGTTACACAAAAGCGTCTGGCGACACTCGTGTTTCCAGAACAATTTCCTGCGTTTGTTTGGATGACAAACATTGTCAAACGACAGGAACGCTGTTGTGTCCAATAAGAGGAGAGCCACTGCGTCATCTTGCTCTGTTACCACTGACGCTGTAATCCACGTGCGATTGCTAATTCCTATTTTCAGTTCGGAGTCCGAACTGCGCCCACGGTGGCGGTGGTTATGAACATTTTCCAGGGGGAATGAAGACTTCCCATCCACGAGTATCTGGTATTCAGAGATGAGATATTCAATTTCTGATTTCTTAAATGTTTTTAATCAATGAAGAATTAGGGCTAAGAAGTCAGAATTCCGTAAAAAAAACGAGTTGAGCCCGGAGTGAAATACCGGATTCGCCCTATAAAATAAATTAACTACAAGAAATTTGGTTGGTATTTCGTAGGAATTTGTTTTTCTACCCACGTCTGAATGTTTTTCGTATGAATTTATTCCGTTGTAACGTGGCTTGCAGCAAGAATAATTTTCCTTATCCTCTATGTCGATCAAAACGGAGCTGAGAAGTACAAATCGTCGATACGACAGTACTGCCTTCCCTATATAAGACTTGATAAAACGCCAAACCTCGACACATTCGCCCTGAAGATGGTAACTACAATGTTACTCGAAACGTTGGATAATTTTCAGCATTTGACGTAACTTCTCCCACAAAATCCGAAGTTACATCTGCGAAAACTTAAATATAAAAAATAAACTTCATGTCGGTGAGGAAGGCTCCCGGGAGCAGAACCCAGGACTAACAAAGACGAGGCTCACGTCGCTGCGCCCAACAGCCGACGTCCGTCCGAAAAACAGACGAATATTAAGGGAGAAGAAAAATTATTTGGGACGTCTTAGTACGTAATATTGTCAACGTCTTTATAAAATCTCTACCAAACAGCTGACAGCATCGCAGAATGCAAGCGATCGAGAACAAATGTGGTGACTGCGTTACTCCTGTAGGTCTGTCCACTCTCGTTACATTTCGTGTCTCCGTTCAAATGCTAGTTAAATTAATTTTGTTGCATTCATGCCCCATGTTTCTGCGTTCGCCGAAGGTTTGCGACGATGGTCGGTCCATTACGCCAGTGACACATTCAAAATTGCTCACGACATTTTCTGGGCTGCGTCTAAGTTTTCGTTTTGCTGATTTGCATGTTAAGTTTAGTGACAATAGTGACGTTTCTGCAATTCAAAAGTTCTTTGTCTCCGTCCAAACCGCGACTACTACTCGCAAAATCTGAGACTGTGAACACAAAATGATGTAGTAGGAATGAAATAGGATGCATCTTTTTACTAGAACAAAATAAATCCAACAGCTGAATATAATATACTTAAAACATACATTTTTTTAAAAAAAATGGAGAAGATTTTGCAATATGAAAGATGAACTATCGCGAACGTTTTTGACAGCACTATTAATTCCTAGCACAGATTCTTTTTAATAACATCCACATTTTCGTGAAAGATTTGTCCATGTAGTTTATGTATTATGTGAATGATTAAATCAGAATTTCACTCACTTTTGAAAAACGTTATTTTTATGAATTCTTTTGTTACTTTCTGGCATATGGAGTATAATGGAAATTCTCATCGCCCTGATGAAGGAGGCAGCAAGGACTTCTGATACGTCGGTAAACTTCCGTTAGATTACACGGCACTGGAACCCAAAAGACAGCCATCTTCGTGATCACGCCCTTCATAACTTCAAATCCTTCTTACAAACTCTATATTGGTGCAAAATTTTCAGTAGAAAAACATGCATATACGGACCACCAGTAACATTTGAGCTTCGATAAGATGATAATATTAAAATTGACCGTAATGGACCAGTGGCGGGTTCTTCTGAACACGGTAATGAACCTTCGGGCATATGAATACAAAGGGAAGTTTATGGTTATCTGAGCAACTATCAGCTCCTCAAGACCAGTGAAAAGTGCGAAGCAATGGGGCTGTTCGTGTTTGCCTAAATTACTTAGAAATATATTTTAATATCATCTGACTGATGGTACAGGTAAACGTTCTTTATTTTAAACTCGACCGTTTCCTTACAGATCCATATAATTCGACGCTGCATATCATCTGAAATGAAACAGCATCGTTAAATAACATTACGTATCAATCGTCTGAAGAGGATTGTTTGGACAGATGGTCCAGTTAGTGAGGGCGCATGCGCGATTTTCAGCTGGCGGCACGTAGCGTCGCGGCGCGGGTCTGTCGGCGTCTGTCGCACGGAGTGCGTGCTGTGAGCAGGCGTCTCGTTGGTCAGTTGCGGCGCTTGTCGTCTGTTCCATGTGGCCACCGCTGAGAGTCGGCGAATCCGCGCTCGGCGTCTTGAGTTGGCCGCGGACTGCGGCGAAGTTTGTAAGTAAAAGACACTGAAGTAGTCGACTGCGATAGTCGCAAATCGTGCGACGTTCGAAACGAGACGTGATCTTCCGTTTTCACGACGTTAATATAAATTAAAATTTATTTTCCTTGATTCACTAACTTGAGCTAGTAGCGTGATTTATTATTTTGTTTATTTATAATTATTTAACGACGCTTTTTCAGTATATCAGACTACATAGCGTTAATTAAGACGATGCTACTGAATAATAAATTAAAAAATATGTTCAAGGAAGCGGTCGTGGCCTAATTTAATGTACTATCCTGGCATTTGCCTGAGGAAAACCTCAGGTAGGATAGGCGGTCTCCGGACTGGCATTTAACCTCCCAATTACGAAGCAGGAGTGATTACCACTCGATCACGACTTTCAGTTCGTACTGTGATCAATTTTCAGACAGCAAATCGTAATGTTATTGGGGATTGTACTTGATAATCGATACATCAGTGCGATATGATACCAGGGAGAAGCACTTTGTATCGATATAAATTTAGTATACTGATATCTTGCTTAATTCCTTGTTACCATACAGAGACTGTTAATTGTTCGTAACTACCCAGTAAACTGCAAATCCAGTCATTGAAATAAATTTAGGGAGAAATTTTAATTGATTATTCGGAATAAATATGCGTTTAACTACAATCGTTCTTTCGTGTAAATAAATTAAATGCGCTGTTTTGAAAATGTATTTGTATTAATTAGTTTATAAATATTTAATTAGGAGTATAATTCGATTTTTCAAATTATGTTTAAAAACTACAATTATTTAAAGTCAGTATTCGATGCTGACGGTCGATAAATTCGAAGCATGTCACAAACTGCTCGGCAGACAATGAACGTGATTATTTCCACGGGCTTACCGGAACAGCAGAGTGTTTCAAACACGTCCGGCAGACTTAAGTAACCACAAACAGAAATTAATGCCATA